AAAAATTTGCTCTGATAAGTCGGGGTGTTACAGTATTGATGGAAAATCCTTTAAAATGAGTAATTTGATATTATATAAAAGGGTAAATAATTGTTGTAGATATAGTGACAATAATTGTAGATATAATGACAGTAGATATAGTGACAACACAGTGACAACAAAATTCTTCACTAGAATTCTATTTTCTTGTAGTGATTTGAATTTTGCAACCTAAAAAATATTTTGTACTATATTGCAACCTTGAATACACGACTTTGTCTGTATCGCAACATCCATCCATCGGTGGCTCATTTCCACCGGAAAAGCGAGCGTGCGAGTCGCACGCTCCAAATTTGAGGATAAATCTGACTTTTTGCAATACATTTGAAGGACAACTTTGTCATTTCGCATGTCAGCAGATTTATATATATATATATAAAACGCGCGGCATGTTCTTCAATTTTGTTCTTCACCTGCGGAAATGGCTTGGAAGCAAATGGAGGCGATGGGTCACGTATGCAATTGTGGGATGAATGTTGTGACGAAAACATCATGGAGTGTTCAAAATCCAGGAAGAAGATACATTACTAGCACAAAAAATTGGGTAAGAGATTAATTAGATTAACCTTAATTTTTGAATTTAGAAAAATTCAGTGAACCCTAATTCCAAAATTTGGGCGAATTCAATAAACCCTAGATCTTCTTAAATTAATATGATTGTTTCACTGAATATTGTAAAATGATGGTGGTTGTGTATATTTTTCGTGGATTAAACCACCTAATTTTTGAATTTGGTGAAATTCAGAACCCTAATTCTAAAATTTGGGCGAATTCAATAAACCCTAGATCTCCTTAAATTAATATGTTTCTTTAATTGAATATTGTAGGATGATGGTTGTGAATTCACAATTTGTGTGATATTTGGGGAGTCCGACGGTCGCACGCTTGAAATGCCAAATTTACCTTCAAATTGCGAGCGTCCGATTCGCACACTCACTTTTCCGGTGGAAAACGACCGAAGGTTGCGATACAGGCAAAATCGTGTATTAAAGGTTGCAATATAGTACAAAATATTCTTTAGGTTGCAAAATCCAATTTCACGCATAGTACAGGCTGCATAAAATTATTTACCCTATATAAAAATATAACTAAGGAAAAATCGTTAAATCTAATTAAATTTTTAGTTTTAATTCATTTTTAGCCTTATACACGTTTGGGTTAATGAATTTGAAATCATTGGTTTTGATTTCAAACTCTTTGAAATTCAATTAGTTATAAAACTTTGTATAAAATATATGGAAGAAACTGTAAATTCATTATGTTGTTTAAATCGACAATATTGTTTGCTCGTGATGGTAATAAAAATTTGAAGTATATGAAGTTTGTAACTTTTGAATGAGGTGATCTCCATCACAATAATGGGATGAAAAGTTTAATTCAAATAACTCGATTTGATGGATCGTTTTAAATCTTATAAAATAATGACTAAAATCTACTTAGTACAAATTTTAAAGATTCAAAATTTCTATTAGATGACTCATTATGGTAATAATTAGAGATGAAAGACACATATTTTTGAATGATCGATGTGGCCATCACAATGAATCAATATTGATAGGATGAAAAAGTGAATTTCAAATAATTTGATTTTATGAATCATTTCGAATCCTTAATATTGTACTTAATTAGTATGAAAATGATGTGGCCATCACAATAATAGGATGAAAATAAGTGAATTTTCAATTAACTTGATTTGATGAGTCATTTGAAATCATTAAAAAAAAAATAACTAAAATCCATTTAGCATGAATTTTAAATTTTCATTTTTTATTGGTACAGGGACCTCCCGGTTTCCGAATCCACAGGGGAATCGACTAATATGGAATCGAGCCGGGTATGACCACAAGGGTGGCAAAACTCTCCCTCAAGAGTTTTAATACTGCTGCATTCCCAGAGCTTGAACACGAGACCACTAATTAAGCTGGAAGAGACCCAAGTCATCTCATTCAAGCGCTCTTGGTTAAATTCTCATTTTTCATTTCAAAGTATTGACCAAAATCCATTTAGTATACATTTGAAAGACTCAAACATGCGCGAAAATTAAAACTTGAAAATTAGGAATCCATAGATTTTGAAGAATCCATGGATAAATCCATTAATTATAACGTAGCGCCTATATAAGATAACTAGTATGTACCCCGTGCGATGCACGGAACATAGATATTAAATGAGTTATTTTAACAGCCTTGTCCGTTTAAATCTTAAAAGTAATAGTGTTATTATCTATTTTCTACCTCTTTTAATCAACGTTAAGTCTAAAAAACAATAAGGTTATAAGCTTTTTTTCATATCTTTTAACCAGCATTGTTTTTTAGCCAGAACATTAAATATGAGTATGTTAGGGCTAACTTGTAAAATAATATCTAATAAAATATTTATACTAATAAAACTTTAAATTCATTATATATTTTTATCCCTTGATATAAGAAAAAGTAACAATTTTATTTATTCTTGTTCATCATATAATATTTAATTATTATTTTATTATATAATAAAAAAATAGTGTTAAATAGTTTTTTTAACACAAAGATAATATTAAAAAAATATAAATATCCATACAAATATACGAACCAAGATTTTTTAATAGTTTTTTATAAGTTTTATAAAAATATATTATAATTTGTTAGTGTATTATTCAAAATCGTAATATTGATTTGTAGTTTTTAGAAACAGAATTTTGATTGTTTTTGTTCACCCCATTTTATGGTAATTTTTATGTCAAGATAAGAAGGATTAAAAACAATATGTAAAATAGGAAACTTGATTAAAATTATAAATGCATTAATTACTACTTGATAAAATTAGAAGTTCATTAATTAAGGTTGACTTTTCTACCTACTATATTTAGTAAATAGGTTTCCCTTTAATATAAGTATAGATTTCACAATGAAATGGTTGATGATACCTATATAAGATAATCATTAAACATACCGTTACAGAACCATTCCGTCGAGTTTTGTAATCGTTAGATAATCATGTAATTGTCGGGGATAATTGATCTAACGGTTACAAACCCCGATCATCTCCCGATAGGCATTACAATTTCCCACAGGTAATGAGTTTAGGTTAATTAAAAGATGAATATTGAGAGGGTAAAATCGATTCTACCCCTAATGATAAATATTCTTGTCGAGATTTTTACTGCTAACTAGTAATCACCCGTGCTATGCACGGGAAAATTATAATCTATGTGCTTTTTCGAAGACAATTTTGTATATAAATTGGGTAATAATGCAATGATCATAAGATTAGACATATAAACATATAATTAAACTGAAAAAATCATATATTATTGAACACTTCTCTATATACAACATTATTGGTTTGATTCTTTGGCAGATCATCTTACCCACAAATAAACATTTTCAAATCTTTTCGATTAGTGACACGGAAGACAACAATATATAACTGGTCATGACTGAACACTGTTTTCTTAAGAAATAAGCCAACATGAGATATTGATTGTCCATGTCTCTTGTTCATAGTCAGCAACATATAACTGGTCATGATTGAACATTGGTTTCTTAACAAATAAGCCAACATGAGATAAGGATTGTCCTTGTCTCTTTTTTACAGTCGTGGCGTAAGAAACCATATGGAGAACTGTCATATTTGTTTACATGTGTATTTAACATGTGTTAGTATTATATTAGTTGTTTGGATAACCACATAAGTGTTGTTTTGTTGTTGACTCTATCAATCCCAAACTCTTACTATTTTGATGATAAAAAAACGTTTTAAATTATGTTATGTTTTAAAATTTTAAATAATTGTTTTATTTTTTTTTATTTTTTATAATGCTAGAGTTATGTACCCCAACTGCTCTTTTTATTATGTATAGATTATTTACTTAAATGTTATTTCTTATAATTACTTGAGTAATGTGAGGTGTTGATATTATTTATTCCATTATTACGTTTCATAATCAACTCTTCCATGAAAAAAATTACAACATAAAGAAATATTGTTATTTTTTTTTTATGTATGGGGCTTTAATATTTACAATTAATTTCTAAATTATTTATTTTATACACTGTATTTGTTGTTCGGAAATTTTAATTATTACAAAATCCTACAGTTAGTTCTGCGTGGTTATATTATTAACTTAAACATTGGAAGACAAAAAATGTATTAAATTAATTCCTTTGTTCAATTGTATAGGTTTGATTTTGTTTTATTTTAAAAAAAATAAAGTGATAAATGTTTGTTATAATTTACTTAACTTTTAACATCTATATTAATAAAAAAAAAAGTTAAAAAAAGGAAAAATGAATTTCCAATATTTTTATTTATAATTTCATTTATTTCGATTACCAGTGTTATGTATTAAACATTAATATAATTAGATACATAAAATATGTGGTACAACATTAGCCATAATAATCAATAT